TTCCCGTAGCTCATTGGAAGCAGAGACTTGATAACCAGATGACCATGTATACTTATCACATGTAGGACTAAGTTGATACAGGGTCGAATATATTGGCATCACATGCAGGACTAATGGCTGCTCATCCTAAATTGGATAACGTTGAGAGCCGAAGGATTTTTTGGAAAAATTCAAGCGTAACCCAGAAAATTTATATAAAACAACAATAGCATTTGGATTTTGGACCTAACCTTATCATGACTTGACTCTAATATTAGAGATTTTATTTATTTATTTGTTTATTTATTATTGTTATTATTATTTAACAACGGGAGGGGGGAAATTCGAATGTTTTTTAATGATAGATTTAGAAGCACAACTATACTGAAAGCTTTTGTTTTGAACTTTTACTAATAGATAAGAGCTCATTTGAAAATGTTTTTGGTGAAAATATTTTTGGAATCAATCATTAGTAAAATGCAAGTAAATCCTAAAAAATCACGTGAAGTGCTTCCTGAAAGAAACACATAACTAGTGATTCCTGCAGAAAGCACTTAAAGTGCATTTGGAATCCAAAAATATTTTCTCTAAAAACGCTTCCAGTTATTACAAAAGTAAATCCAAACCAGCCCTAAAATTTATTAAACCATTTTCCTAGACTTTTGCCCTAGTGCCGATTAGTTCCGGAAGCTTTTGTTTTGGGCAATTATATTTCTCTATGTTTCATTTGAATTTTCGTTAATATTGTCACATTTCAAGAAATGTAAACTATCAAATAAAAATAACATTAAATGATCAACATTTGAACTTTTTGGAGCAAAACGTTGAATTGAACGAGGGTAAAAACGAAGATAGGGGGATATTCATCATTTACATTAGTTCGGGGAAAAATGGTCTGAATAAAAATTTAAGGAAGTAACTCTCAATGATATAAGTTCAGGGTAGAAATCAACAATATACTTTATATTGTATATGTTATAATAAATAATTGACCAAAAACATATATGTTGTGAAGAATAGGTTATCGTACTCAAAATTCAGAGAGAAAATTGGAGCCATTGGTCCATGGAGTTTGCCACAATTAGGGTTTTATTAATTTTTATATTATCTAAACTAACTATTAAAAAAAAAATTTGTCAACAAAAAATAGATGAAAATATCAAATTAACCCTGTCAACAAAACTAAAGAAATATAACCAATTAAAATTTATGGCAAGTATATATGGTAAGTTAAACACAATAATTTTACTATTTTTTTTCTCAAAGCCAAAGAGTCAAATTAGTTGCCTACAAGTTCTCTCCCCCGTTTTTCTTCCAAATAAAGTAAACTTTTGATAACGAAATAGTTATCCAAAAATAATCACTAAAGAACCTCTTCAGCTACGAAAAATCCTTTAAAGGTCATCACCAAAAAGTTCTAGTGGCCATTTTATAATTTCTCTCTTTGTAATTCTTTTTTTTTTAATTTAATGAGCACATGTATAGCATGTGTACAATTGTTTTTTTTTTTTTTTTTTATGTCAAACGATAGATTTGTTTTATTAGATGTTAGATTAGGGAACTAATATGGTTTGAACCCATGTTGTGATGCAAGTGTAACATTCATCTCCATCACTGTAATAGAAGGCCACCAACACATAAAAATTTTCAATCGATATGATTATTCACCTTAACTGCACAAGATCTTTTTCTTTAATTGGAATAATGTTATTCATATTACATGTTTCATACAAAGTAATTTACGAGTCATTATAACTTCACCTCCTCAATTGGGGTTTTATCGTTTATAACCAAAATTTGGCTACCCAATTCATACCATAGGATAGGGGGTGTGAAGCTATAGAAACAAAAAGGCTACTTACGAGCACATCAAACCATTAGCGCATGATAAGGCAACCGTTAGGTTTTGTAATAATATCAGTTTTTACAAAAAAAATTCAATTATAGCAGAAAACTCAACTGAATAGACTTATATGCCCTCTAAATTAAATTCTAATTACTATTTAGAACCCAAAACCATTTCAAAGTTTTTGCACGGTTATTCAATGAGGAATGGGGATGGAAAAGGTCGGGGACCAGTTGTAGGCGTATAGAACAAGTCATGAATACATGGTCAGTTGCGACATTGAAAAAATCGAAACTTTTTTCATATGAATTACTTTTTTATGGAGTCGATTAAAAAGTGTATATGTTCCATGCTAAGATCGAATTTATAAGCTCATTTTCTTGGGAGAAAATAAACAATCAGTGAGATCAAACTTCATCATTCTTCGTCATTGCCATTAAAACCCTAATACTAAAATACCAGTTAATTGTTCACAAAAATATGCAAAAATTTTGTTCTATGAAATTATCATTATGACCTATGTTGTAGCTTTATCAAGTAAGAAATGAATTTGATAGTTGTTTTTTATCAGTCTTTTTTCGTTCGTTCTACTTTTTCAGATTAGAATCTAGATATTATCAAACACTCAAACTATAAAATCGAAAAGAAGACCATCCTCTTGTTAGTTTACATTTATTCAGTTTTCAATAGTAAGGGTATTTGAGTCTATTTTCATGGTCTTTTTGCTATATTTGAAATTTTTAATAAAAACTGATATTTATAAATTAAGATGCTAAATTTTGGCTAAAAATGATAAATACTCTCCTCAATTAGTTATGTCATCGTATTTAATATTGAATTTATATAAGTGAATGTTAACGTAATACATTACGTCACATCATCGTATGTATAAAAAATGTGGTAAGTGTAGGCATGCCATTTTGTCTCCTTGTTGGAAATGACATTAGCTAACAGCTGGATAGTGGAACCTTGAAGTTATATTGATCTTTTGACTTGCAGTCATATTACTTACCGTACTTTGGGGTTGATGACGTGTTCAACTTTTGGATGGTTTGTCTCTAGTGGTCCTTTTTATTTTAGAATGATAAGTAAGAAAAAAAATAGTATTTCCTCAATGCAATTATGATCGCTTATTTCGCGTACGATTTACTACTTAATTGTCTAGATGATACAAGAAAATTTGAGATTTGTGTGCTAGCAAATAAAAAATGTAAAGCAAAATAATTGGGTTTGGGCCCAAATTGAACCAAACTACCGTTTGGTTTGGTTTGATTTGGTTTCCTCGATATTTTCTTACAAAAGGATATTGCATCTTTTGGTGAAATCTAATTTGGCTGTCCATATGACTCTACAAGGTGCAAGCGACAACCATTCTCTTGGTAAATTGGTGCAAACTTGCCATGAGCTGTTAGGCAAAGATTGAAATTGTGACCTCCATTATGTTTATCATGAAATGAATTTTGTAGATAATGAACTTGCTAACTTGAGTTTGTCATGTTCTCTTAGTCCAGTTTATTTTGATCATGCTCATGCCTCTTGTGGACATCTTCTAGTGTCATACGTTGATTAGATCTCTAGACCTGATGATGTTTTGCTTTATTTTCTCTTTGGGCATTTAGCCCCGTTTGTTTACCCCCCCCCAAAAAAAGAAAAAAAAAAAAAAACCCGCTTCGATAAACAAAACGTAACGAAAACCATTGTATTATACTTGACTTGGCCACGGTGTTTTGGGGCAAAACCAATCCACTCGAAAATGTGTCCATCCCTAAATGAAAATCCTTTGCATTCAAAAATTAGGTCCGGTAGCTATTTAGTGCTATGGTGTAGTGATATTCCTCTTCTTGTGAGAAGTCTTAAGTTCGATACCTGCTAAAAGTGAATTTGAACCACATTATTGCAAGTCAATTGTGGAGCTTAGCCTACTTCCGCACCCACTTACTACCAGGAAATATCGTTTGTTAAAAAAATAAAAAAATAAATAAAAATTTCACGCCAGGTATGGTGGTCAAGTGAAAGTCTTGGGAGAATGTCCTAATTACAATAATAACTCAACTAAGTAGGTCGGGCTTGACCGCAATCTACATAATTATACACACACAGCATTCAAAACCAACTAATAATTAAGGGTTCATAATTACAATAATAACTCAGCCGAAGTAGGTCGGGCTTGACCGTAATCTACATAATTATACAAACACAAAGCATTCAAAACCAACTAATAATTAAGGGTTGAAAATCTCCTCTCTCAAGCGTCCCAACCCTTAATTACATATCAAACAATCACTTGAACCGTTAATTATATGTCAAACAATCACTTCAGCAATCATGAGAACCAAGAAAATTAAGTTCATGAATGAATCACGCACCAGAAAGGGCAAAAACGAGTGAAGAATTCAATGTATTTCTAAGTGCAAACATAACGAACAGGCTACTAGTCTACGGCTGCAGACAACATTCCTGGACCAGCTAAATTCAAATATACATTGGCAGTGCACAGAAAATGGTCAAAGGTCCTGTACTTGCGGTCACCTTGGGTTGGGAAAGACTAAAGTCTGCGATGGAAAAGCATCTACGCCGAAAACAGGAAAATTTTGTGAAGTAACACCCCAAAACGTCGACTGATAGCACGCGACAGCGATGGGTTTGTACTTCAGACTGAACCAATAACAGTTCGAGAGAGAATTTATTGCCAAAAACAAAGAAGAAATCCAGTCACAATAATCAACCATAATCATTACACTTGGAAAAGTTTTAGGTAAAGGTTCCGTCCAGATGTCTTTTAAACTCCATTAAAACAGAAACACCTGTGTCTTGTTTATCAACTAGGATCATGACCGAAATGCTCAAGCAGATAGAAAAGGAAAGCTAATTCAGCTGCTACACCTATACCAAGTTTTACTAGCTCAAGAGAATTCCAAAATGACCAAGAAAAGTTCACACACGCGTGACCAAAGAAAATGTTAATGTGCCACGCAAAGAGCATAAAATGTTAGACCAGAAGTGATGTGGTAGTCAATAGGGGGCAGGGTAATGGTAAATCTATCCTCTCCTAAGAGCCTGTCTTGGGTGTGAGCCCATGCAAAAACACCACTATGATATGTCCAAAAACTGAATTCCTGAAAACTGTGGCTGTTAACTACCATTTCTAGATATAATAAAGCTACAAAAACAAGTGTAAGTTCGAATGGTTTCTGTATTATATCTGAAGCATGTTGTAGGTATGGTACATCAGAATATTCACTTTCTCAATAATGTAGAAGTTTTCTGATGATCAAGCTGCGTCAAAGTACGTCATAGTGAAATAACATACAGCACAGAATAGCTATCCTACAAACAGACCATGATTGTACCACCATCGAACTAATCTATAATACACACACCAATGCCTTAAAATCCTACATTATAGCTAATCCAAAATTTGCAATTACAGCTTCCACAAAAGGGGAGGGAAAAAAAATTGGATTTGGCCAAATTTTGGTAAAAAATAATAACTCAACTGCAACCTGTTCATAACAACATTACCAGATACGTATATTAGAAACAAAACGAAAAAAGAGGAAGTGGAAGCCCAACTGCTTACCAGACAATCTAGGTCAGCTCAGAGGGATGAAGTGACTGTCTGCAACAATTTATCACTCCCAGCTTTGTTCTCATCCTCAAAGAAGTCCTGCAGTGCAATCATCTTAATAGTGCTAGACTTTAGGCTCTTTATTGCTTCTGCAGTTGCCAAAGCTCCGGCAATAGTTGTTACTACTGGAATCTTGTAAGCAAGGCCCAACCTCCTCAGTTGCCGTCCATCAATCTGATCGAGTGCATCACCCGAACTTGTGATCACCATTAACTGGATTTGTGCATTGGCAACCATATCAGCGGCATGAGGCCGCCCTTCATGAAGTTTCAGCACTCGTTCCACTGGAAGTTTTGCTAACTCAAGAATATGAGCCGTCCCAGAAGTTGAAACAATCTTGAATCCAAGTCCTAAAAAGGCTTTGGCAATCTTTTCAAGATGAGGCTTGGTCAAATCATTTAAGCTGAGGAACACTGTGCTAGCAAGTGGCAGCTTCTGCCCAGCAGAAATCTGCGCCTTGGCGAATGCAATGGGAAACTCGTAATCAATACCCATCACCTCCCCAGTGCTACGCATCTCAGGCCCCAGCAACACATCACAGCCTGGGAACTTCTCAAATGGAAGAACAGCTTCCTTTATTGATAAATGTGCAGGAATGACCTCTTTTGTGAAATTTAGATCATGCAGGGACTTCCCAGACAAGACAAGAGAAACATATTTTGCCAATGGATGCCCAATCGCCTTTGACACAAAAGGGACAGTACAGGAAGCACGAGGGTTTGCCTCAAGTAAGAAAACGTCTCCAGACAATGTAATTGCATACTGACAGTTCATCAGCCCACATACATTCAGCCTCCTGGCCAATTTTGTAGTCCATGTCCTAATTATGTCCAAGCAAGAAGTAGGGATGGTTTTGTTGGAATCGAGCAAGCAGAGTCTCCAGAATGGACCCCAGCATGTTCAATGTGCTCCATTATCCCACCAATGACAACATTCCCCTAAGAGTCAGCAAGTGCATCGACATCAATCTCAATGGCATCAGACAGATACTTGTCAATCAACACAGGGCATTCTGGGTCCATCTCAACAGCATTTTCGAGGTAGGTCGCAAGTTTTTCGTCACTATATACAATCTCCATGGCTCGGCCACCCAATACATACGAAGGCCGAACAACAATTGGGTAACCAATGTCCTTCGCAATGGCAACAACATCAGCTTCACTCTTGGCAATACCTCCTTTTGGTTGTTCAATCTTTAACTCATTAAGGATTGTATTGAACTTCTCCCTGTCCTCAGCAGCATCTATGGAAGCTGGTGAAGTACCCCAAATGCGTACATGTCCATTCCCACTTGCACATTTAGGCTTGTTCTCATCTAGATACTGCTGAATAGGAAGTGACAGCTTCAACGGTGTTTGACCTCCAAACTGCACAATGATGCCATCAGGTCTTTCCAAATCAATTATGTTCAGCACGTCTTCGACAGTTAGTGGCTCAAAATATAGACGGTCACTTGTGTCATAATCGGTGGATACTGTTTCAGGATTTGAATTCATCATTATTGTCTTATATCCTGCTTTCTGTAGAAGAGAAGGGAGAAGCAGGCAAATCAATAGAGGATTTGAGCAAATTACATCTCTTAAATGCACAGGCACCATTTTTCATTAAATTATACCAAAAAAAGTAAAAATTGCAGAGGCCAAGTATAAGTAATGGCCGCCAATGTATTACTATGTTTGCATGTATGTGCATTAATGACACAGAAGGGATTCCTTCTTCCTGTAAGCTCATTGATAAAACATACACACCAAATTCAATAAATCCATAGATCTATTTTAGATATGCAAGTAACATAACTACCTTTCAAGAACGAGCTACTACAAATGCATCAAATGATATTGCAACTCTAAATTTCTTATCAACTGCCACTGAAATTGAAGTGTATCACACTCACCGACCCCAAGTCTAAATCCCATAGGCATCTTACTAGAGTAATCTAATTGTAGTATTGAGGAGAAAAAGGTCTGATTGCCCAACTTGTAACTGCCTAGTTAAAAAATTCATGAGTAGGACCTATTATTATTAAGCAAATATATCTAAAATCAATTGCATTCAGCTAAAGCATCCTAGTAACTAAAAGTTAGGATATCTACGTTTTGCTTAGAAACTTAGGTTCAGGAACGTAGGCAAGTGGGCAGTTAACATATCAAAGACAAACCTAAAGTGCAAAGGACGTGTGGCAACAACAGTAGTCAAACTCGATCCCTTGGCCAATTCGATTTGGTCCTCCACCTAAAATCAAAACCTTCTTACTTTGGGTGGGAGCTGATTCACACTCATAGTCATAGGAAGAGTACATGAACGGAGTATTGGCCTCAAACTTTGCAGCACAAGTATCCACCCGCTTATATGCTGGAGCAATACCTAACGATAGTCTCTTCAACCTGACATCTTTTTCAGAGGATTTAGTGGCAAAAGCTATCTGTTTGTCACTGAAACCTCTTTTTTTAACTTCGTAGAAGTCATCCTTTGTTAAATCAGATAAGTTTCTAGCCAGGAGGTATTGCTCCACATCTACCAGCTCCTTAAGCTGTGTGAGGAACCATTTGTCAATGAAACTCAAGTCATGAATATCATCGACCTTCATACCCCTCTTCATTGCAGCATATACGACATGGATGGGGTCTGGGTTAGGGACTCGGAGGCTATACTTCAATTGTTCCCAATCCCAGTCAAGCTCCTTAATTTTAGCATAGCCCCATCCAGAGAAACCACATTCCAAAGATCGAACTGCTTTCTGAAATGACTCTTGAAATGTGCGACCCAGTGCCATTGACTCACCAACAGATTTCATTTGTGTAGTCAATATTGGTAGTGAACCTGGAATTTTTCAAATGCAAACCTGGGAATCTGCACAACTCAATACAACGAGAACAAATAAGAAATGACATACAAACCCGGTCTAAAAGAGCATGGGATAACAGAAACAGATTGCTATCGATGAAATGAACAACGACAATAATTGATGACCTTCCTCCATGCATAAGTAATCGTGATTTAGCAAATTATCCAGGAAGCTGATGGACAATGATTATCTAACATTATAAAAAAAAGCTAAAGCCCCGTCTAAAGGTCTAACCATCTCATCATTGCTAACATGTGATTAAACAAGTATAAAGCACAACGCGTTTATCAGAGTGTTTAATTAGATTGCTATGTAAAGGGTAATGTAGAAGCACTTGCCTTGGTCACTACATAATCTATGGAAGGCTCAAAGCTAGCTGGAGTTTTCTTTGTAATGTCATTAGGTATCTGATCCAAGGAATACCCAACCGACAACTTGGCAGCCATTTTCGCAATGGGAAAACCAGTAGCTTTGGACGCCAAAGCCGAGGACCGAGACACCCTCGGGTTCATCTCAATCACCATAACCTCACCATCGACAGGATTAACCGCAAACTGCACATTGGAACCACCACATTCCACTCCAATCTCCCTTATGATAGCAATGGAATAGTCCCTCAACCGCTGATACTCCTTATCCGTCAATGTCTGAGCCGGGGCCACAGTGATCGAATCCCCTGTATGAACCCCCATTGGGTCAATATTCTCAATGGAACATATAATCACTACATTGTCAGCCAAGTCCCTCATCACCTCAAGCTCATACTCCTTCCATCCCAACAACGACTTCTCAACCAAAACCTGAGACGTCACACTAGCCGCAATCCCCGCCTTACAAATGTCCTCAAATTCTTCTCTGTTATAAGCAATGCCACCTCCGGTTCCTCCCAAAGTAAACGCTGGCCTGATAATCAATGGAAACTCCCCAATCTCATTTGCAATTTTGATACATTCCTCCAAAGTAGTCGCAATCCCAGATGGCGGCGTCTTGACACCTATGTTCTTCATGGCCTGCTTGAACAAGTCCCTGTCCTCCGCTTTCTTGATGGCATCCAGCTTCGCTCCGATCAATTTGACCCCGTATTTGGCCAAAGTCCCGCTCTCGGCCAGTGCCACGGCCAAATTCAGCGCCGTCTGGCCTCCCATTGTCGGCAACAGAGCGTCAGGCCGCTCCTTCTCGAGCACTTGCTCAACCAGCTCGGGAGTCATGGGCGTAATGTAAGTCTTGTCGGCCAAGTCCGGGTCGGTCATGATCGTGGCCGGGTTGGAATTGATCAAAATGACCTCGTATCCGTCCTCCTTCAGCGCCTTGCACGCCTGAGTCCCCAAGTAATCGAACTCGCAAGCTTGCCTAATCACAATCGGCACGGCTCCGAGAATCATGATCTTCTTAATGTCCGTCCTCTTCCCCAGCTTTGGCACCGCCCCTTCCTTCACCGCAGCAGCTCCGCCATTACCCGAGTCGCACCGGACCGAGTTGACTCGGTGACTCGTACGGTTGGGGAAAGTGGCGAACTGCGGCGGAAATGATCGGAGGCGGAGAGCAGGTAAGGATGAGCTTCGCGCTCCGAGTTTCTTTGAGGAAATGACGAAGCGGAAGCTGTTTGGTTTCGACGAATAGGGCTTGGAGTTGCCGAAAATTGAGAGCTTCGGGGAGAGAGCCTCGCTGTGGCTCAGGCAACGGTCCATTTCTGTTGCCTGAAATGGACACTGTCACGAAGGAGGCTCAGAGGTTAGAGAGAGACAGAGGAGAGAGGAGAGAGATGGAGATTTGGGGATTAGGGTTTAGGGAGGTTTAGATGATATCCAGTTTTGTGCTGTTATAAGTGTCTTTCAGTGAGTGAGTGGGGTTTTGGGAGTGTTTGTTTGTTTTTCGCTGGGGGGGGGGGGGGAAGGAAATGATCTCCGCCGGATTATCTTTGTAGGGATTCGGGAATCAAACAATCATAATCGTTCATCGTGTAGTCAGTTTTTATTAATTATTTATATTTAATTTTAAATAATTTTTAACCGCACGATATACGATGAATGTGATTATTTGATTATGATGATCCCCACAAATCCTTTTCCGTGGCAAAAGGCAATGCAATAGTACAATGTGGCTGTAAGATCCCACATCACCCAGGGGAGCAATCCTTATATGCATATTCTCATCCCTACCTAGCACGAGGCCTTTTGGGAGCTCACTGGCTTCGGATTCCATCGGAACTCCGAAGTTAAATGAGTAGCACACGAGAGCACTTCCATGATGGGTGATCCACTGGGAAGTTCTCGTGTAAGTTCCCAGAAACAAAACCGTGAGGGCATAGTCAGGGCCTAAAGCGGACAATATCGTGTTACGGTGGTGGAGCGGGCTCGGGATGTGGTGGACCCTGGGTCGGGATGTGACAATTGGTATCAGAGCCTAATCCTGACCGTGGTGTGCCGAAGAGGTCGTCGGGCCCTTAAGGGTGGTAGATTGTAAGATCCCACATCACCCAGGGGAGCAATCCTTATATGTATATTCTCATCCCTACCTAGCACGAGGCTTTTTGGGAGCTCACTGACTTCGGGTTCCATCGGAACTCCGAAGTTAAGTGAGTAGCATACAAGAGCACTCCCATGATGGGTGACCTACTGAGAAGTTCTTGTGTGAGTTCCCAGAAACAAAACCGTGAGGGCGTAATTAGGGCCCAAAGCGGACAATATCGTGCTACGGTGATGGAGTGGGTCCGGGATATGGTGGACCCCGGACCAGGATGTGACAGTGGCGAAGCCGTACTGCACAACTAAAGATTTTAGGGGGCGTTTGCTTGCCCTCCTTAACTCTCATTAACTAGATTGGACTAAAGGTTAGTCCAGTCCCATGTTTGGTATTTGCTGGGACTCACTTTAATGAGACTAAAGGGGATTCGCTTCGATTATCTCCCTCGCTAGGAGGTCTTAGCGAGAGCACCTCGTGACCATGGGACTGCTAAGCCCTTCGTGACACGCCCCGACCCTGATATTCCCCGAATACCATGATAGACACGTGCTGGCCGACACCCGAGGGTGATGAAAGCCATTAAGATACAAAAGCTAAGAATAAGAAATAAATAAGGGTTAGAAATTTGAAATACAATGAACTAACAATTTAGGAACGTGTTCAGAGCATACAACTAAACCTAATCACTAAAAAGAATTTAGATAAAATTTAATGAATAAAGAAGTGGGTCCTACATCGAGAGGATCCGAAGATGCTGCTGCGGAAGTGCCTTCACGCCGGGATTAGGTGCCTTGATTCTAAGTCCTGAATGGGGGCGCAAAACAAAGGTGAGTGGACCAAGTTCGTATATATATATAATAATAATAAAACAGTTATCAAAATACTAACCCCCACAGTTTATATAATGAAAACTACTAGCATAATAAGTGATGGATTTAATAAAAATCCTAGCATGCCAAATATCTCAAAAATCACATCGCGGAAATCAAAACAATAAACGCATCATAAATCGTCTCGTAAACGCGGTGTGCTGCTAGAAAGATCACTGAATAAATATAACTCCCGGCCCAATGCCTGCACCTCAGTCTATGTGCCCGTAGCCAGAGATAACTCCCTCCCGGCCCAATGCCTGTCTCCGTGTCCCTCAACCTTTCGCTAGGGATTATTTCTCCCAGCCTACATGCCAACACCAGATCCTCGCCCCAGGCGGCATAGTGTCTACTAGGTACGCACAAATATTTACGGCCTCTCATAATTAACCACTTCATAGTATAAAGTCATCCATCGTCTATACTATAAAGAGGGGTTTCTAAAACATGTTCTAGCATCCTATCGTCATCCATCAGATAGTCTACCAGTTCATGATTTTTATAGAAAATATGATATATTAAAATATAGCTCAATATAGGCTAACAATTTATTTCCTCACCAAAACACGAGACGAAATCAATATATTAAATCAACAAGCTTCACATAAATCAAATCATAAATCCATAGGCATGCTAATCATTTATGCAATTAAATTATCAAATTATGTAATTTTAGAAGGGGTCTACTCACAGTACTTAGTTGCCAAAAGCTGCGCCACTAGCGAAGACGGAAACGTCACAATAATTGCCCCTAAGCACATTAAAGAGTCCAATAAATAAAACTATATAATAGCAATTGTATTTGGGAAAACGGACATTGGAACCAGATTCAGAACGTCGAATTACCCTAAGAAGGGTCCCGGATGAAAACCTGAAAAGTCAACCCTAAAGTCAACGTTGACCGGAGGTCAACGGTCAATTTAGGTCTAACGGGTTTTAGGCTTGAAATCCGGATTAGGGTTTAGGTTAAATAGGATTAGGATTTATTGGGTTTTAGAAACCTAGGGTTTTTGGGTTAAAAGGGTTTTAGGGTGAAAAGGTTTTAGGGTGAAGAAATGGGGTTTGGGCTTAAACCCAAACACACACACACACACCACACACACACACACACACACACACACACACACACACACACGGGCTGCACACACACACAAGGCACAAGGCCTTAAGGCCTCACACAAACAAACAGGGCTTTAAGCCCTTTGAATTAAACCGGCCCAAGGCCAAAATATATATAAGGCCCGAGGCCTTTTGGGTTTTTTAAAAAAAAATAAACAAAAACAAAAAGGATGCGGGCTGGGGTTTTGGGCTGAGATATAACGGGCTTAAGGCCTGTGGGTTTTCTAAACGGCCTGAGAGGCCTGGTTTTGCCGAAGAAGAAGGCCGGAAATTCGGCCGGAAAATCACTCAACTTTAAACGGCTATAACTTTGTCACTACTCAACGAAATCAAGCGAGACAAAAACAAAAGTTGTATCCCTCGAAGAGACGAAGAGAATGGTACCTCACAAGACATCTAACTCGCCGTGGTTTGGCCGGAAAATGCCTCGAAAGCCTCGGAGGTCGCCGGAAACTGGGTAAAATTCAAATGAGTATAACTTCTTCAATACTCAACGAAATTGAGTGAAACAAAAAGGAAAGTTGTAGTACTCAGGGAGACGAAGAGATTTATACCTTGCACGCCGGCCAACTCGCCGTGTTTTGGCCGGAAATGGCCTCGAAAGTCGCCGGAGGCTCCTGGAAATTTCGTCGTCCTTTCTACAACGGGAGAGAGAAAACTATAGAGGTTTTGATGGTGATGTCCTCAGCAGATGGCGTGGCTGAGGGTGTTGCTCGGGGAAAAGGGGTTGCAGCAAGGGAGAGAGATGAGGTCCAAGAGAGACACAGGAGAGAGAGTTGCGGGAGAGGTGAGGGAAAAGAGAGAACTGAGAGAAGACAGACCAGAAAACATAAAAATAAAACAAGGTGGGCCCCACGGGCTCACCAATTAAGAATTAAAACTATTTTTAAATAAAAAATGGGGTTGGGGTGTTTCACTTCGTCTGGTCTGTCCTCGTCTCCTCTCATCCACTCTCTGCTCTCTGTTTTCTTGAGCACCGACAACCATCATCACACCACCACTCCCAACTTCAGCGAGATACATTGCTAGCCCAACACCACTCTCTCGAGATCCAAAGAAAGCAAGCATCATTTGGCAATTTTTGGTAGAATTGCAGGGGAAGAAGAAACGAAATGAAAAGGCTTGAATTTGTTACAGGCCATTGATGGACAAGATTTTTTTTTTGGGAAATCGATGATCAGGGATTTTTTTTTTTGAGAAATCTGGAGATCATGCAGCTTATGGAACTCTCTAGATAGATTAAAACTCACACAACCAAGAGGGGAAATAATTCATACCTGAGATAGAGTTTGAGGGAGCTCAAGCTCTCTGCGTTAATGGCAGGGCACCCGATGGTGCATCGATGATACGTTCAACGCCGTAGGTGGATTCCCCATGTCCCAAGGGTTCAAGGTTCAGATTTTTTAGGGTTGATTTGGTCAACATCAAGAGAAATGGTGAGGGTTCCTTCTCGGAGCTTAGAGAGAGAAAGGTTGCAGATTATTGTTGAGGAGAGAGAGAGATAGAAGTGCAGAGACATAAAAAGAGAAGGAAATAGGGGTCATGGGGTGAGGGACCGAAAGAGAGAAAAGGGAGGTGAGTTAGGGTGAGTCAATGAAAATATCTAAATCAAAAAGTAATAAAATAATTAAAAAGTAGTAAAAAAAATATTTAGATTCTAAAAATAATTTAGTCTGTGACTTAGTCCGATATTGCACCAAACACTTCACTATTCTTGTCCTACTTAGTCCATGCCAAGACTGTCCAGCTTAGTCCTTTAAGCTAATCTAGTCCGAGATAGTCCGGTGCAACAAATGCACCCTTAGGGTTGTTGTTTTGTCAAATCATACTAGAATATGGGCACACACAAAGTGTGCGAAAATTTTTTTTATTTTTGTTTTTGAAATAGAAGGAAAGAGGAAAAGAGTGATAGAGAATGTGGGAGGAAGAATTTTTATTTTTATTTTTATTTTTTAGTTAGAGATATGTTAGGATTACAAGTAGATGAGATTTTGAAAAAAAACAACAAAATTTGGTTATGTGAAATTACATTTCTGCCCCATATTTCATATTCATGTTTTGTTTTAATTAAAAGGTTAAACTGGTAATTTCATAAGATTTTGGTTAACAATGAGTGTTATTAATTAGTAGAGATTAAATGTTTGGTTTTGATTTTTAACTTTGATTGGATTTGGGCTTTCAACGACTCAGCCCATAATCAAATGCTAGGGACTAACATATGGACAACCTTTTTATTACGATTGTGACTAAATCGTTATTAATTCACGTGTTACAATATAAAATTGACAAACTTTTTATTTTTTATTTTTGTCAAAAAATTAATGAATCATTTGGAGATAGCTAATACTTTATGAACATAGACAATAACTTTAGGGGTGTGATATCCACGCACCCTATTTTACTTCTTACACACATCTTATTAATTTCTATCCGTTGATTTTCTTCAATTCATCCGATCCAACGCCCGAAAACTAGAAGGGTATGTGAAAAGTAAAATAGGGTGTGTGAATATCACACCCCTAACTTTAACAAGTAGATACTCCTACAATTGTATCCTAACAAAGAGTTGCTTATGTACAATTTGGAATTGGATATCCAAGTTCATACCCAAAATTGAAAGTTTTTATTTTCCATAACAGCTATTATTCATAAAGAAAGACAAACATAGCATACTTATGTGATGATGTGATGTGAAAGAGAGACACAAATGGTAAAGTGCATTTTAATCACGTGATAAACATGATGAGAGAAAAAGATACAACAAGAGAGATACAACCGTTACAAGACAAATTCTCCCCTCAAGAGTGACATGCCCCATGATAGACAAATGGCACACATAAACATGTCATCATTCAAATTTCAAACGGTAAATCCTAAGCTACAAGCAACTCTACAATAATTAAAAAATACAGTAAATTTATTAACCGTGATTTAACTTTTACAATATTGTGGTCATTCATGAGAGAAAAACCTATCTATCTATTATTGTGTACAATGTACCCATCTTCTTGTGTCTTTGACCACATGACTAGTCACATAATGACCATGTGACGAGAGAGATTGAGAGATAGCAACATATTAACATGGAAGTTCCTCTCCATCCATGGATAATTTAAAGCACAAATTTTAAAATCTTCCAACATGTAAAATTTTCAACATAGGAGAAACAATAGAAAAACAGTTAATATCTTTCTGGTTTTGTTTAACTTCAATTTTTGTGAAACATTTAGACGTTCTATTATTTCATATCGTGTTACCATTATATCAAGTTAGCCTTAAACAATCCTAAACTTGGTTGATGTGAAACTGGCATTTTTCTCAAAACTTGACATTTTCTCTCTTTTGACTTTAATTCCACGAGATCCAAGTAAATTAAAGCATACAAGGGATATAAACAATGGACAAGGATTGTCTGCCCTCCACTTCCGGTGCCCTCCCCGTGCCTTCCTGTTTGTATGGTCACGGTTAAGCCACGTCAACATTTTATATTACTATTTATTTTTGTCTTATTATATCTATAAAAAAAACAATATAAAATGTTGACGTGGCTTAATCGTGACCACACAAAACAAGAGGGCATAGGGAGGGCACCGAAAGTGGAGGGTAGACAATCCTTGTCCATAAACAATGGTAGAAAAGTCAGGCAGTTGCAAGTTCATTGGGAAAAATGAGATTTTCATTAAAGCATACGAGGGATATAAACAAAAAACTTTCAAAGTTTAAGCATCCTTCATTCTTTATTTTGTTTGTATAACCGTCAAATTAACTTTCATTTCTATTACTTATATGAATCAAGCACCTTGAGTTTAATTTTTATAACACTATTTTTCTAATGATGTGAGTTTGATAGATATTAGTTCTATGGTGCGTGGTAGCAAAGGTCCTTGAATTGTACTCCACGTTTAGTTTTCGTTCTTAAACTCTCATATTAGTTTCTCACATCTTCCAACTTAACTTTGCATTACATGATTGGTACATACGTCAAATATGTCTTCTTTTTCGTCAAAGTAAAGGGCACAATGGTATTTTCATACTAAAAATATAATTTTATTTTTGTTAAAAAAAGAGCTTGGCTCCTCAAAGTTAAGGAGGAGTTGGTCCTCAAAATACTTCATGGCCCGTCCACAGATTTTGGTGCTTATGATCAGAACAATTTATATTATAAATATAAATGTAAAGATTACTTCTGCAAAAAATCAATTTTATAAAATCGTTTAACCAAAGAAAAAAAAAAATCAAACTTTGAGGCCAAATTGAACAAACAAACCCGCAAACAATGATTTGGTTAGGATCTATTTCGCCCATAGTTTTAGTGAAAATTGAACAAGATTGTTCCGTTATATCATTAGATTGACTACGATTTGATTGGGAAATCGACTTAAACCAGAACGAGCCCTCCTCTAGGACTCATATTGATCTCATCACTTAACAAAGTAGATAATCAAGGATAAAACTCCTTAAATCTAAGGAAATCTTTCCCCTTATTGGAGGATGACCATTTGTTGAGGCCAAATTGCAATCTAAGACAAATTAGCAAATAGCAATGACAGATTTAGGTGGAGCACAATGAAGCATAACAAATATTTCCCCTTAATAATGCATTATGCATGTGACAACACTGCCGGATAATTAGGGATTTAATATAAACAACAAAATTAAAGCAAATCCTTCTTGTGGTTGCCGTTCCTCTAATCTTTCATCTCTCTCTAATTTCCTTCAAGAAAAGAAAATCCCAAAAAATATAAAGTGGGAAATACAGCCGGTTTGAACGATGCAATGTGGTGTCAATGTCAATCAAACAAAAATAAAAGAAAATAAAAAATATACTATTTCTAATTTATTACGGAGGAACCGACGTCGTCTTAGCGGCAAAACGCGTGTCTAGGAAACCCAAAAAAGTGTTAACCCAAAATAAAATAAAATAAAATAAAATAAAAAACCCCAAAAAAGTCAGAAGTCAGAAGGGAGTCGCATCTACTCTTCCAACGTTCGTTGGCTCCGTCTCCTGGCTCGACTCATGCTAAAATGCGCTGGGAGTTGAGCTGGTGACGACGTGGCGTGACGTGCCTTTTTATTACAACGCCAACGGTATAAAGAAACGAAGAAACATCTAATTTCCCTGCACTTGGCAAGAACAGAAAGATATTTTCTTCAATCCTGCTTGCTCAAATAATCCTCTGACGTCACGTCTGGGTTGAATTCTGGTTGTGCTTCTGCTTCTGCGTCTGCTTTTTGGGTTCAAAATCTGCTTCTGCTTTCTGGGTTCTGTCTGTTTTGTGCCACATTTGAAGCTGGGGATCACAGTTTTGGTCGAATTTTGAAGATTGAAGTCGGTGGAAATGGTTCTGATGAAGGAATTGTATCCTTTATATTTTTCCTTAATTGTGTTTTTTGGATTGTTTATTTGTTACCCTTTTATCTGGTTGCTGAGAAAATGCTGTTTGAACTTGATTTATGTTGTTTTACAGATTTTTACTTGAGGTGGTAGGTATTGGATTAACACAAACTTGAGCAAATTATGGTTTTTAATTTTGTTTTCTGTCACAAATTATGGTTAGTTTGGTAAATGAATGTACACGTCTGCACCCTGCATTTCTGGATTTTATTTTTATTTTTGTGGGTTTGAAGGATTCAGCATTTCCTTTTCTTTGCTTGCTGAGGAAAATGAAGAACAATGAACAACAGTAAGGTAAAGTTTCAATCTTTTCTGTTAATCCTGGGGTTTATGTTCTTTATTTGGGATTCAAATCTCAAAATTTTCTGTTCTTCTTTTTCGTTATATATTTGGCTAATAAAAACTGAACGCTAATTCAAAGCTTCTATTTTTTTCAAATATATAGTCTTACACATATATAGAGTATATGTATCTGTGCTTGTATATATGTAGTGATTTTCTCTTATTTAATAGTCTGCATATTGTATGACTATATAGTGATTTTCTCTTATTTAATAGTCTGCATATTATATGACTATATGGAATCATGTCTTTATATATAAGCAGTGATTCAGTCTGGACACGAAATAGTTTGCGAAGAGATTCATGAGAGTTTTGTACTAAATTATTCAGCAAGAAGCACATTGTAGCATTTGAGAAACATTGGTAAAGGCTATGCCGCTGTGGAGAGTTTTCTCTTACAGCTCTTGCTATACAAAAACTAAGTCACCTTTCCATTGAGGTTTCCTTAACTCTTGTCTTCTTCAATTGGGGACTTGCATGAAGTCGGATTGTCATGCCCATGTCGTTGGAAGAGGTAAATGCAGTTAACGAGCTTATGATTCTGTATTCTACTAAAATTCTCAGGCATTAGTTTTGTTTAGTTTTCACTTGTAAAAGAACTATGGAGTGATTGTTAACCAAACTTTGAACTGCAGTATCGAGTAGCCCAGACATATATGGTCATGAAGATGCAGGAACAGAACACAAACAGTACCGAAGGGGTGGAAATAGTAGAGAGTAAATCCTTTGAAGATGATTTATTTGGAAAGGGTCACTACAGTTCTAAAATTTATCGTCTACAAAGGTAAAACCAGTTCAGATTTGTCAGTTTAAGTTGCTATCGCTAAATTGTTTATTTAATGATGTTGAAGTTTGTTTCCTCAGTTAAAAAAATTACTTGGTACATTATTTGGTTCTGATTTTACCACAGCATTGATACCACCTATGTTCCTACGTATATGGTGGCCGTACTGTTTGTTTACTCTCTTTTCCTTGAAGTGGATCATCTGTTTATACGTTTCATTGAGATATGTATTTTATGAATTCCAAGGTTACTTATTCATTCATTTTGTTATTCCAGCAAAGCTCCTGGTTGGCTTGCCACTTTTGCGCCAGCAGATGCTCTCATCATGCAAGAGGAAGCCTGGAATGCACACCCAAGATGCAAGACAGGTTTTCCATTCTTTCTTTAATTCAATTTTCATGTATCTTATTTTTAAACACACTTCAAACTTATTCTGACTTGGGTTTTGGTTGACTTCAAATGGATGGCCAATGGACAGTAATCAAGGTAATATTTTTTTGTCCATCTCTGAAAACAATTGATACTTCATATATTCTTGAACTTTTTTGAAATTAATGTTTTGGAATTTTGCAGTGCCCATACTTCACCAAGTTTCAGCTGACCGTCGAAACAGTTAACAGAGCTGACAATGGCCATTCGGATAATGTAAGTTTCTAGAAAAGTTTTCTGTTCTTTTATTTTGTGGCTCTGTTTGCAGCCAAAATTTGGTGATTTACTGTCTTTATCGTCCTCTTTGAACCCTTGTTAACTACAACCTAGGTTCATGGTCTAAGCAAAGCACAACTAGCAACCAGGGATGTGGAAACTGTTGATATTGCTTCATCTGCAAGGGATTACTGGAGTCACATAGTTGGCACTAACAACACCGACTTTTCCCAATTTACATCAACGAAAACTGGACGTGGTCCACTTTTAGAGGGCTGGCAGGTTGGAATAATCCCTACCATTAGTTTAATCTTGTATTAATTTATGAATTGTCTATTACTGACTGTGCTTAGTAATGCTTTTTACATGGATATTATGTCTTGCAAAATCGTACTCTCTGATTTGTATTTGACTTGGATTGGATTGTCTTCTAGGTCTAACAGCTAATCTGTTAATTATTTTTTAAAATTTCAGGACACGTCGGATCCAGTTATGACAGCCTACAAACTGGTCACCATTGATGCACCATATTGGGGTTTCGGCAATAAACTTGAACGAGCTTTGCTATTGGTAGTCTCTCTTAGATTTGATTATCAGTTATTATTTTTGTTACACGTTACACATCTTTGGGTTATGACAACCATCTTCCATAATACAATAGCTACACAAATGGCAGCATCACCCAACTAACCATTAAGTTATATTTATAAATAGTTGATTTCTTTTCATAGTTCAGGTTTGTTTTGCAGCAGAATGAGGCAATGTTTACTACAGTTGGAAATAAAAATAATGATATGGAGGAAACAAAGAGATTTTCTTTCTTATTTTCTAAGGAAGATGCTAAGTGGAGTGAAACGTTAATTTTATATTGGTTTTCGATTTTACCATGTGTGTGATTATCTTCAGAACATCTATACATATTATAAGATCTTGGAGTTCACCTTGTATTATACTTTTAACAGTGTCATTGTAATTGGGATACTTTTTATAGGGTGAAAGGGCTCTTTTCCTAGAAAGCCATCGGAATTGCTTTTCTTGGATTGATGAATGGTCTGGAATGACAGTTGAACAGATACGTGAACGTGAACGACATAGAAACTCAGAGGTATGAAGGTTCTTGTAATGCATATCTTTTAACATTCATTAACTATCCAAAGAAAAAAAAATGAAATCTGCATCAACATTAAATTGTATAGCTTTAAATAAAGTTGCATCTTGTCTATGTGTTGGTGATAGAAAATTACATTTTCATAAGCCAAAGTATATATATATTTCTATTCCCTGCAATTTACTAAAAGTTTCAATCTGGGATTCTGGGGCATCTAGCCAATTTGATTAATGTCAACCTTGTAATTTCCAGTTGATCACCAAAATTGGAACTTACATGGAATTGATGACACAACTTCTATTCCTTATAGTTTCACAACGTGATCGATGTCAATCCTTCTTCTTTTAATCTGTTGTAATTTACTCTAGCCAATTCTATTAATCTAATTAGGGCAAAATTGAGCACTGAATTTTACATCAGACAATCTCAGTTTCACTTGACACTGCATGTTTGACCGAATCTCCCAATCCACACCATGTGAGGGACCAGATTGACACATTAAAATTTAAGATTAAGGTTGTTCAATTAAAATTGAGGGAGCAAATTAGAACTCTCAGCAAACTGGAGAAAGGTAAAGTGTACTTCCGTTTTTTAAATCAATCTTTCATTGTTTCCGGTCATTCAAATTAATTTACCAAAAAAAAAGTCATTAAAATTTGTAGTTAGTGACAATTATCAGCTTTGCTTCGAGTGTGGGTTTTTGTATGACTGTCTGGTTAGTTACTGCGAATTCCCCGTCTTCTATGCTTGGAAAATTGCAGACTTTTGTTCTAATTTGAAACTGAACCTTGCAGTACAAGTCAATGTCCCAATTATACATCATCAGTTCTTAATGTACGACTGCTTTTTCCATGCTACAGATCCAGGAACTTGGAAGGCCAACTTTGGTGAAGAGCCTAGAAGATATCGACCAGAGATTATTACCTGAAAGCGAAGAAATTTATAGCGGGCAGAGACCTCAACTTTCAACTTAAATCCACTCAGCATGGACTCTGTTGACTTGGAGCAAAATTTTTATGCGTATGCTGCATTCGAACAACAATCACGGGCGCCCATCACAGAACAGTAGGCCTCACCTGTTTCGTATTACACTCTGCCGGGGGTGCTGAAGAAATTGTATTTGGCATGCCAGGGTCGGAGTTGTTTTCCTGCCGATTTGGCAGCATAAACTTGAGAGAATGTATAGCACACTTCATGTAACATAGCCAGATAAATTATCAAAGAAAGGAACACCCAGTCACCCAGCTTGGAAAATTTCCGAAAGAATTGTGCATCAAGCATGGTGGAACCGTGGAAGGCACCACATTCATAATTTGGTTGCATTCCAAAATATATGCCACATTTACAAATAACAAGTTTATATACTGAGAATGCTGCAACATACTTGTGAACTTCATTTGGGGGAGGGTAGTGATTTTTGTACCCCTAGTTTCTACTTCTGCGCTCCTCCCTTGTTTATGCACGTTGATTCTCCTTTGATTTAATTAATCATAAGGCTAGAAACAATGGGAAGGAGTGTAGAACGAGAAAAAGGGAGTGCAAAAATCACTTCCCTCGGGAAAAAAAATGTCTTGAGAAACAAATGACGAACAATAATATCTTGATCCTTTCTTTTCTATGAGAAACAAATCATATAAACCATCACAGTCAAATTCACCTGGAGGAGTTGAAACCTCTCCCGAAATTCATAAAATGCAAGTATCAACAAGCAAGTTAACTAGCTCTTCCCACTTCACTCATCGTTTGATTCGTAAGGAAGTTGATTGAGATCCAAGTCTAGTTTTTCAGGAACAGTAGTGATCTCACCGTCTTCTTCAGCCACCGGTGCTACTTCTGCTGTCTCCGGAGCTTCTTCCACCGGCACTCTATAGTTGTGACATCTCTTGTGGCCTCCCGGAGCCTGACCTGTTGAGAACTTGCAGGGGCAGATGTTGCACACAAACTCTTTGGTCTCGTGCTCCACTGCTTCAGCTTCTTCTGCTCTTTCAAGTACCTGGTTACAGGTAGCGCTAGGGCCATTGTAATTTTCTCTTTCAGCATACTTCGCACCAAATTCCTGAGTTCTTCGTGAAATCTGGTAGTGGGTTTGATCATTTAAAGCCGCGTCTTTGGTGGGTTTTTTACCTGTTTTCGAAACCTCCTTCATCGCCTTTTTCAGCTTCACCTTCCAACTAGTCTGATCAACATTCTCATCGTTGTCGTCGTGACCATCATCATCATCATCCACAGAAGCCTTTTCTTTACCTCCAATGCTTAACTTATTCGGCACGAAATTCACACTCTCAGACCTACTTTTCTCCGAAGTTTTATTGCCTTTGTATCCACCAGGTGACTCTTCTATTGCCTTCTCCAATGCCGATTCACTAACTTGGTGAGCTGCATATTTACTACTAAACCCGGCTGATTCGTCTACATTCATGTCACTCAACGTTGCATCTGATCTTGTGACTCTAAACTCTTGAGGCTTCCTTGAAATTTGCTTGTGGGTTTGACCAAACAAGCTGAAATCTTTTTTGGGTTTTGCACCTCCAAAACTTTTACTTCCCTCCATGGTAATTTTCTTACTATCATCATCAAATTTGATGTTCTTGGATGAAGGGTTACCTTTGTATCCAACTGGTGACTCTTCTATTAGCTTCTTCAGTCCGAATTCACCAACTTTGTCTTCACCATTAGGATCTCTTTGGTAAGCAATCCTGCGTCTTTGTTCAATATTCCTCCAGTTTACTAAAAAAATTGCTGCATCATTGTCTGTATCTATGGTGTGATCAGAAAAACTACTATCACGATAGCCGTCATCATTGTCGTCATCGTCACAATCATCATCGGAGCCAATTTCGTATGAAGAAGATTTACTTTCTTCGGAAAGAGGCTGAACAGCCCCAGGAGGTCTGACACCCTTCCAGTCTCTTTCGCGATGGAGTCTCATGTGTCCGTGCAAGGATTTGATAGATGGGAAATCCTTTTTGCAAACGTAGCACGAGACTTCACTGCTGCTGCCGCCTTTGGAAGAACCGTGTTTCTTCTTCTGCTTAAACAATGCTTTGTTCTTCTTGGGAAGAAGAGACTGATTGAGATGAACCTTTCTGTGACCTCCCAAAGCTTTTCCATTTTGAAATCTCTTCCCACATTGCTCACAAACCCGATCTCCACTTCGATGATGAACATCACTGTCTAGTACTACTTGTTTACCCTTATGATAATCATCGCCACGTAGCGCTACTTGTTCTTCAATCTCTTGTGCATGTACATCATCATCATCCATGATTTCTTGATCTTCTTCTTCATAATCTTCTTTGAGGTCCTTGTTTTTCTCTTGGAAGTTTTTCATCAAAAAAAGAAAAACAATCCAAATTTGTTTTCAGCTAAACTGATAGAGAAGCTTATGAAGAAGAAGAAGCTGGTTGTATAAAAAAAAACTCCACAATTTTTTAGACCCTATCAAAAAGGTTCAAAGCCCTAATTGATTTTCTGTGAGTTCCTTGCCTTTTTTTGTTATTTTTTTTGGAGTGACAGAATCGTCCCGATTAATTAGTGGAAATTAATTAAGATTGATATGGAGTTTAATTTGTGACTTTTAGGGGTTTGGCTGAAATCTGTGATTATGATCCCTCCGGTTATGAGTAGTGTCTAGATTAGTATGTTTGAGTATCCGATAAGTTTGCTGTAATTAATCTGCTGGGGTAAAATGGGTAACAAAATATTGTTGATTAGGGAAGATAACCGTTGGGGTTCAATTGTTCAAATAGGACTTTTTGTTTAATCTTTAATTGATCAAAGTTTAGTCCTTTTTATTTATTTATTTATGAAAGTGTAGTCCAATTGAAAATTCTAATTTGCTTGACTTTGCTACCAAATCGGATTCTTACCTGCTTTAAGGTCCCACGTTGACTCTCCAATCGGATATCTCTTTTCTGTAGCTTGGAGAAAATTTTCAGTGTGTTTAAAACACGATAATATATACCAAATGTCATATATAATTGGAGTAATACTTGTATAATATCATATAACGTATTTCATTGTTATTGTTTATTCTAATGGACCAAAATTGCGCTCTTTATCTCAATATAATTCAAGAGTTTTGTTCTCATGATTGTAATGAGATTCAATAATTATATTGATGTTGACCCTAAAAACTATCAAGTCTATGTGGCGCACAGGCCGAGTAATCTATAAGCTAACTACGTCCTTCGGTTGAATGCGGGGCGTGCCAACTCGTCAGCCGAGCTCGGTCGAGGAGTAAAATTTGTTGATGTTGCGTTGGGTGCGCGGCTGACTTCTGCGTCTTGCGATTGCGACCGAAGAAGGAACACATCTCGGCCTCTTGGGTTCTCGAACCTGAAGACAAGGCTATTATTCTTACAAAGTTCACAAATCGTCACCGTCAGATTCGGCCACAGTGATGGTATTCGTCAGAGTAAACTCACGCCGAATTGACACCAAAGTGTAAGGGTACAAATACTCAAAGCGGATATATGTCTTAACAATAAACGTGGTTCGGCTGTCGGAATGCTGAACTCTAAATCCCACTTGAGAGTATCCAATCATAAACTAACTCGGCGTGCAATGTTCCGAGCTCAATAAACTGTAACACCTCACTTCGCCGAGAAGGCTAATGAGATAACCTCGACCAATAAGGATTCAGAAATCCTTTTCGACCGAGACTTGGATAGATAACCAATCACCCTTGACGCAGTGCTATCTATGCCAATTGAAGATGCTGCGAAACTGGCTGGTTCTACGGTGACAGTGCTATCTATGCCGACTGAAGATATCACTGGTTGCCTTCACTGTGCTGTTTATCTAAACTGAAGGTGTGTCGGCGAAAAAAAGAAAAAGAAAAAAGTCTTAAGGTTGTTGAGAGAATTTGCGCAGGGCAGTTGTGTGTTGAATTGAAGGGGGCTTGAACGATGCACAACCTCTTCTATTTATAGCACCATGTACTTTCTAGACCGAATTAAAACCCTACTCGGATTAGGATTTCTTCATCTAATCAAACACATCTCGACCGGTCCTATTTTCACTATGACTTTGAACCTAGTCCTTTATCAAACCGGATTCACTTCTATCCATATCTTGCCGAGACTCCTTATTGCGCTAGGATTCAATCACTCGTCTCGCAGCATGACTTGACCGACCTAGGTTAGGAAGCCCATGAACTAAACGATCCACGGTAACCTTTTTAGAAGGCCTTCCTGACCGAGAATACATCTCGGCCCAAACCAATATTTTGGGCCAAACAATTGACCTATGCAATCTTGGGGTTTCTATTGATTTTCAACAAAATGCTTGAAGTCTGCTCATTATTTTGTAAATATGTATCTTAACGTTTTTTTTTTTTCAATGAATGAAATATCATGCTTCTTTACTTGAATCAGTAGAGCTCGTGTGCAGCTAATCAATAGATTTTTTTTTTTTTAATCCAAACGAATTACGTACTGACAAAATACCAAGACGACATGAAATTAAGGTTATGTAGCCAAAGGAAAGGGTGAACATGTGATTTTTTTTTTTTTTTGGGGGGGGGGGGGGGGAGGGTGGATTTGATTTTTCGTCCCTCTGGTGTATCGAGGGAGGGATGGGTTGCACATGTGGCTACTTCTTATTGGTAGACAAAATTTTATTAGTAAATTTTTTAAAGTGACCAGCAATGATGGGTTGACATATCGGTAATTAACAGGGCCTGCCCAGGTCCAGTACAAGCAGGGCGACCGTCCGGGGCTCAAAAAAATTAGGGGCATCAAAATTATTAGGGCGGTATATTTATATATGTTTTTATAAGAGTATAAATTTATAAAATTTGGTTCAAAAACATAGAAATTTAACTAGAAGTGGTGGTTTGTCATTTGAAAATAATGAGAAGGTCTTGGGTTCAAAACACCATGTGTGCTTATTTACTCTCCATTTTTTACAAATTTCTTTTTATAAGAGTATAAATTTATAAAATTTGGTTAAATGATCAAGAAATTTAATTAGAAACAATGATTTTTATTGTTTAAAATTAACAAGAGGTTCTAAGTTTGAAATGCTATGTGCATGTTTATTCTTTTCAATTTTTTAAAATTTTTGTTTGGTTGTTAATTTATTTTTAGTTACTATCTATTAGTTATGTGGGTTGTTATTTTTAAATATTCGTTTTAATTCAAGTCTAATCTTCAACAAAGAGTAATACGTAGACCAAATTTCCAAATTATAATACGTGTCATCAAAATGTTTAATTTAATGCCCATTCATTAATAATACATATCAATTAAAGACTCGAGAACATCATTATTTTTTAGTACCACATTGACAAGGTTAGTAAATAAGAAAAAAAAAAAAACACCTCACGATTTATTCAAAAACACATTCAAAGTTCAGATAGAAAACAAAACTCATCATCTATCTACTTGTAAGCCCGAAGTTTTTTTGTTTCCCTCTCTCAATACAAAATAAATTAGTCTTTCTGTGTTTCTAAATTATTGAATTTGTAATGTTTTTCTAAGTATAATTTTATCGATGTCTTATTTGTGAAAATAAATAATTTTCTTACATGAAGTTAGAACACTTTTTTTTACGTCGCCCCGGGCCTAAAAAATCTATGGACCGGCCCTGGTAATTAAATGGGCCATTCATGCAACGTCAAAGTATTAACATATTTATATATTGACAGAGCTTCTACCATTTTACAACATTATAAAATGGAAGGGACAAGGAAAATAGGCACCTAGAGCAATATGGATTACTATGCCTAATTGCATAGCTAAGCAAAAACAACGTCGTTATAATCTTTGGGCTAATTTGGTTATATGGAAATCAGATTATGATGATTTATTTTTAAAACAAATAGTTATGTTGCCAAATAGTCAATCCTTTGTGAAATTGATCCCATTCTCCAATCTCCAGAGTCCAGGGGTGATTTTTGTAATATTGATCATCGATGAGTTTATCTCCAGATTCTGAAATAGGTAATTGTTTCTTTTCTTTCTGGTCATGGTTTAGGTAGTAGATACTTGTAAACTCGTAGCTTAATTGATTAAGAGCGTTCATTCTCACACCCAAAATATTCTGTTGTAATTTAAATGAATTTAGTGTAAATTATCTTGAAAAAACAAATTGACACCTAATGCATCTTTGATTGTTTGGTTGATATAGCAGCACTCAATTATAGGATTAAATTGAAGTCATGATGATTCGCAGAATATAGTAATTGCTGGTATCTTTTTTTTTTTTTTTCATTAATAGAATTGCCGGTATCTTATTAACCATTGAGTTTTTTTCCTAGAACATGGTTATTCTAAACTAATTATATATTAATAAAGTCATTTTTGTTAACTAAAAAAGAGTAAAAAGATAACTCAGTTTCTTTCACAAAATAAAATCATGGACAATGAATTTAATACACACAAACTAAATTTTATAGTTCTTTTTTAAAGTCTCACCCAAAGGTGATCCTAACATCCTCTATTTAAAAAAAAAAAATGAAAATTTCTCTCGCAACCACAATTAACCTTAAGCATTGGTGGGGTACCGGCCAAAGGCTATCATACGGTCAAGTTAGTAAGCAATATAAGACTCGTGAACAAGAAAATAATGAGTATGCGATGATTGCGTAACCAGAGATGAACTCTAGATAAGTATATTTATATTAATTAGATGAGAGACCTTTTGGATATAGAATCCGTATTAAACAAGGAAAATCCAAGGGAATGTTTAGTATTAGATATTGTGTCCTCTTAGGAGTGATTAGTTAAGGAGCACGCCAATCTCTAAATTGTAGGAATCTCTGAGAATATACGAAACTAGTTTGATCCCCAATCGGATTAGGTTTTCGTGTCTTTTGGATCCTAGATTGTAGGAATCTCCAAGAATATACGAAACTAGTTTGATCCCCAATCGGATCAGGTTTTCGTGTCTTTTGGATCCTAGATTGAAGGAATCTCCAAGAATATAAGAAACTAGTCTGATCCCCAATCGATTCAAGTCTTCATGTCTTGCTGAAAAAGAATGGTCAATCTCATCGAGTTTGGTGAACTTCGCCTATATACCTTTTCCGTAGCACAACAGCACGTGGTGGCATTACTGACCCATTTGAGCAGCTCAACTCGATTGAACTCGATTGAAGATATTTAGTTCATGACTTGACTTCTGAGGTACACCTGTTCTGATCCGCCTAACTATGGGCTTAGAAAATTATGATCCTACAATAACTCCTTATAAAACGTTGTAAAAATTGCTATTTAAGTTTGTTGTGGGCCATTGATTTAACGAAAATTACAAGTTAAAGGTATACATCACAAATGTTCACCCTTAGATAGTATTCTAGTATATCCGAAGTTTGAGAGAAGCTCTTGAATTTCGATTAATAACGATGATAAGATGATAGTGCTTAAAAGGTTTCAGAATAGCAATCCTAACTCAAAGGGAAAACAAATAAGAAATTCTTTAGTGAAGCGATTTGTTAGTGATTTATAGATAGTTAATTGTTAGGGAGGAGGGGAACCGGAAAATAACAAACTAACACCAGGATGCATAGACATGATTGTTTCCCGCAACTACGAGAAAAAATTAGTTATTTACTCTTTCTTTTTGTTTGATAAAATACAGTTAGCGAATTACCAAAGAAAATTAATTGGGAGCGCAGTTGCGCTCCCCTAAAATCTAACTAATCAATTAGTAAATCAAGCTATCTATCTACACATATAGACATACAATCTAATTCGAACCATCATCATCCTCCTTAGGAGGTTTGTTGAGATCCAAGTCTAATAATATTCTACGACTTGCAACGTGAATTGTTTCATCAGTCCAATGTTGACTTCCTGGATCTATGATCACACAATCTTCACGATCATCGGCCGATGCAACTTTGATTTTAGCTGAATCTTCATGTCCATTGGTCGATGCAACTTTGTTTTTAGCTGCTGCTGCAGCTTTTAGAACTGGTCCTCCTTTATAGTAGTGAGATCTTTTATGGCCGCCAAGTGCCTGCCCTGTTGGGAACGTCTTTAAGCAAATAGGGCATACATGATGGCCTTTGTAGCCATCTAAGAATTTTCCTTTCTTTGATTTGGCGTACTTGTAGTGCTTGCTTGCAGAATCAATATAACTATCACCGTCCGAGTACTGATCAGCTGAAGATAAGGAAGAAGATGGAGGAGGAGACTGGGCTCTTTGGCGATGCGATCCCATGTGGCCACACAAGGATTTCATTGATGGGAAAGTCTTGTTGCAAACTTGGCATGAGAGCCTACTGTTATTCCAAGAAGGGTATTCTAATAACAATTGTTGTTGCTTCACCTTAAACTTCTTGTTGTTCTTCGGACCTAGATGGCGTTGAAAGTGGATGCTTATGTGACCTCCCAAAGCTTGTCCATTCCGAAATCTCATACCGCACTCGCTACATGTTCGACTTCGATCTACTGCCTGGGTTTTATGACCATTATATAGTACTAGTTCTTTACCCTTGGTATCATCAGCACCATTCAGATATTCTATCAAGATTTTCCGTTGAAAGGTCTTCATGACGAAAAGAATAGGTTCGAATAAGTCGAACCTAAACAAAGTATGCAACTGATTGAAGGCGCAGATGTAGAAATATAGAGAGCATAGAGAAGAATTTGAACCTTGACTTTGAGGTACGATTTGAATCGTTTTCTAAAAGTATTACTTGATCTCTGCTCGAATGAGTTTTGCTAAAAAGTTTGGGAGATGATGGCTATTTATAAGGGAAGGCTACTAGAGTAACGGCCAAATAAACGGCAATCCTTTTTGTATTTGGACTGGGATTCGGTGGGTCCATCCATCGATTTTCAAGTTTCCAACTTAAAATAGGAGTCGTAGAGTGAGAAAGACAAAAGGTTAAGTTCGGAGAAGACGAACCCGGTTATGTTATGTTATATACAACGTGTTTGACCAGATAAAGTCAAAAGGATATTTATAGTAGCTACTATCTTTTGGGTACGTCTTTGTGTAGGAGGTTTGCTTGGATACTTGGGGTAGGAAAGAAATATTTGAGAATCCAACAATAAATGTTTAATGTGGTTGTGGGTCACGTGTGGGATATTTGAGATTTTTAATGTGTTTGAAACACAAGAATGGTACATCATGTATCATTATAACGAGTTGCTTGCATATGCTGGGCTAATCCGACACAGAATGAGGTCTCATGCAAAGTTATAAAATTGCCAAATTTTCTTCTATGATCTATATAAAATTACCAATTAATCGTAACAAAGATGTTCTCGAGGTCATCAGATGACCAAAGAATGTATGATCATCACTCACCATTGGATTTGATATCAAGGACGGAGAATGAATAAATACGATTTTAGTGTTTTAATCTTATCCCTTGATGTCAAATTCAAAGATGAGTGACTATGATATCAAGCAAGCTAATATACGTAAATGCAAATAACCTCATTTTTCCTTTTTCCTTTTTCTTTCATGTCCCTTTCCTTTCCTTTCCTTTCCTTTCCTGCTTACTTGATGAATATTCATGTGTTTTGATGCTTGTGGCATTCACTAATTGCAGGACCGTTTGATAATTATTTGAATCTAATTTTTAGTACTTTTTTACTTTTTAAGTTTTTGTTATGTCTTTGTTTCTCCCTCCTCTTTCTCACGAACACCAATCTAACATTCTTTATAGAGTAGTTAGGCCGGTACTATACCGACGCTGACAGGTTTCTTTTCTCTTTTTTTTTTCTGTGTTGGACGTTGAATTGGCACCTGACATTTTTTACACAAGGAAAAAACCCAAATCTTTTCTGCTACCAGATTCCTATACACACACAAACAGGGACAAGTAAAAATGTGCCGTTCCAAAAATCGTTGCCTTCTTTTAACAAACACCTTCTCCCTACCCAAACCCTAACCCTAGCCCTATTTTCTCACTATCAAAACCCATATGTTCCTCCTTTTCTACACCACCATTCATTCCATACTTCTTACGCACGCACCATCAAACACAACCACAATTCCTACATTCTCACCACTGTCTACCCCCTCAATGTTAATGTGTAAATTGATGAATTGATCAAAGAGGTTTACAAGTTTGATTAGTGTTGTGTCTTAGCTCATAGGCTGAGATTGAGTGATAAAATTGTAATGTGCTAGTTAAGTCTCATAGGACTTGATAGTGGACAAGTTTCCTAATCTAAGCAATGTAAATGGATGGTTGAGATTGAATTGAGGATCTGTCTCTCTCTCTCTCTCTCTTTACCAACGGTTATTTTGTTGGTATGTGAGCTCATATGTTTAGTGCGCTCACTCTCAGAAATATGAAAGAAGTTGCAGAGTAACTTCCTTTGAATTTTCTTAGCTCGAAATTCCTTGTTTCGGCTCTTCTTCTTGTCTAACAAATCTGCATTTTTTCTTCTCTAATCGCTAACCTGGCCTCAGAGCCAGGTTGGGTCTAAATTTATGGGCGTCATGTTTGTTAAGGTTAAGCTCAAATTCACAGCAACAAGCTCATTGCAGTGATTCAAGCTCATATTTGTGATCGGGTCTAACATGGCTGGATCTGGAGGAGGAGAACTCAGAGCGCCAGTCTTCAATGGTGATAATTTTGATTTCTGATTAATCAAAATGAAGACCATTTTCTGTTCACACGAATTATGGGATCTGGTTGAAAATGGGTACGAAACTCCGGCGAAGAAGGAGGAAGAGCTCACGGAGATGGAGAAGAAGCTAATGCGTGAGAATGTGGTCAAGGATGCTAGAGCACTCGGAATCATCCAAGGTGCCGGTGTGGGACATTCTGAAACAAGAATTTGTGGGTGATAAGCAAGTAAGATCTGTGAAACTTCAATGTCTTAGGCGAGATTTTGAATATACTCGCATGAATGATAATGATTCTCTCTCCGTGTATATTGCTAAACTGTTTGAACTGATTAATCAAATGAAAAGCTATGGTGAAGATTTGAGTAATCAAAGAATTGTTCAGAAGTTGTTAATCAGTCTACATAAGTCTTATGATAGTATTGCAGCTGTGATAGAGAATACTAAGGACTTAGACACCATAGATGCACAGAATGTTGTTGCTATCCTAAAGGGTTATGAACAATGGCTTGATAGACATGGGGAAAGTAGTATGGAGAAAGCATTTGCTAGTTTGAATATTGCACCGAAATCAAATAGGTTTAATAGTCAGTCAAACAGTAGCAAACACCAGAAGAATTTTAAGCCAAGGGAAACAGTGGGGAAACAAGGCTGAATGGGGAAATAAGGCTAGTTTTCCTGTGAAGAATGATGCTAATAATATTGGAGATAAGTGTAAAGTTTGTGATAGATTACACTATGGAGAATGTTGGGTTAAGAACAAAGTCAAGTGTCACAAGTGTAACAAAATTGGTCATATTGCAAGATACTGCAATACAAACAAGGTTGTGCAACAAGTGAATTTTGCTAATCAAGTAGAGGAAACTGGAAATCTATTTTATGCTAATCATTCAGGGGAAATGAAGAAGAAAAGTGATGAATGATACATAGATAGCGGATGTAGTAATCATATGACATCCAGGGAAGATTTGCCTGTTAACATTGACATAAATGTGAAAGCCAAGGTTCAAGTAGGCACTGGAAACTTGGTTGAAGTGGCTGGAAAAGGGACACTGATCATTGAAACAATGAAGGGCAGAAGTTACATAAGAGAAGTAATGCTTGTACCTGTCATTACAGAGAACTTGCTCAGTGTAGGACAAATGACAGAACACGGTTATTTTCTTTTGTTTGGAGATTATAAAGTGGATGTGTTTGATGACAAGTCCCTTAGAAATCTGGTGGTTAGTGTGAAACAGAAGGGAAATAGATGTTTTCCTTTTATTCTCAATATCAACCAAGAACTAGCATTGAGAAAAAATGTGCAGGGAGATGCAAAGATGTGGCACAGAAGATATGGACATCTAAATTTCAGGAGCCTCAAGCTATTACAAAGTCAAGGAATGGTATTAGGGCTACCTGAAATTCAAGATAGTAATGATGTGTGTCAAGGCTGTGTACTTGGGAAACACCATAGGGAGCCATTTTCAAAGGAGATCACATGGAGAGCACATGAACCATTGGACCTGATACATTCGGATGTATGTGGACCTATGAAGGTTCCAACCACAAGTGGGAATAGATACTTTCTCATGTTCATTAATGATTATTCACGAATGTGTTGGGTCTATTTTATGAGGAATAAATCATAAGTATTTGGGATATTCAAGAAGTTTAGAGCACTGGTTGAACTGCAATGTGGTTACTCTTTGAAGAAATTGAGAAGTGATAGAGGTGGAGAGTTCACCTCCATTGAATTTAATGCATTTTGTGAATCAATTGGGATGGAAAGACAACTCACTATGTCCTATACTCCACAGCAAAATGGAGTGGCAGAAAGGAAGAACATGACAATAGTGGAAATGGCCAAAAGCATGCTGCATGAGAAAAATTTACCCTACAAACTATGGGGAGAGGCTGTCAACACTGCAGTTTACTTGTTCAACAGGTGTCCTACAAGTGCATTAAACTGTGTCACACCATTTGAAGCCTATAGTGGAAAAAGACCAGGGATTAAACATCTCAAGGTATTTGAAGCTGTATGCTATTCTCTAATACCTAGAGATTTGAGACATAAACTTGAAGCATCAAGTGTAAAAGGAGTTTTTATTGGATATGGAGCTTGTGATAAGGGATATAGAATTCTAAATCCAACCACAATGAAGGTGATTGTGTTTAGGGATGTAGTGTTTGATGATAATGGAAAGTGGGATTGGGTAGAAAACAAAGTGAGGGAAATCTGTGTTCCTCTAATCCTATATGAGTTTAAAGAAACAAATGTTAGTGAAGTTGAAGAGTCTACCAGGATATCATCTCCTGTTTCTTGTGAAAGATCAAGAGCTCAAGGTGCAAGTGTACAAATACATCCGGTGGACATTGAAGCATTTGATTCAACACCTTTGAAATGGAGAAATCTGAGTGAGGTATATGAACACTGGAATCTGTGCATTGTTGAACCTGAAAGCTTTGATGAGGCTGCACAAGATGAAGCTTGGAAGGCTGCAATCCAAGATGAAACTAATATGATAGAGAAAAATCAAACCTGGAACTTGGTAGATAGACCATTTGACAAGCCAGTGATTGGAGTAAAATGGATATACAAGACAAAGCTGAACTTAGATGGATCTATGCAGAAACACAAAGCAAGGTTGGTAGCCAAGGGATATGCACAAAAGCCTAGTGTGGATTATAATGAGACATTTGCTCATGTTACAAGGTTGGATACAATAAGAACATTGATTGCTCTAGCTGCAAAGAACAATTGGCAGCTATTTCAACTAGATGTTAAGTCTACTTTCTTGAATGGTGTACTCCAAGAAAAGGTGTATGTGGATCAACCAGATGAGTTTATTTTAAAATGAGAAGAAGACAAGGTGTACAAGTTGCATAAAGCCTTGTATGGACTGAAACAAGCACCAAGAGCTTGGTACAGTGAAATTGATGCTTATTTTGAAGTGTGTGGTTTCAAGAAGAGTGATAGTGAA